GGCAAAGAAATTCGAAGAAGACTAAAAGGTAGCAATGAATTTGCAAAAAAAAAATTAAAAAAATTCTCATAAAGCCATTCGTTGTTCGGAGGCAGCGTAAAATTTTAAGTATCTCCATTTAATTTATATTTTTTATTAATTTTTTCCAGCATTTTGCCATGCCGGAATTTTTACAAGCGAAATTTGTTTGGAAAATCGCCATAGAGAAACATTCGATACTTAAATTTTATATATATGATATGTACATATGTTCAGCAGAGCTATGTAAAACACGACGTGGAAAATATTGACCCTCTAACTCCATCATCAGCTTTTTTATCAGTTTATGCAAAAGGGCAAAATATATCCACAAAAACAGGGATTTAGCGGGTTAAAATCGTACTAATATTATAAATTTGTTGCTCTTTAACTCTAAAATGGATTTCAATGAAATTTGGCACACAACTAAATAAAATATCACAACAGTGTGTGTGTGAAAAGAAAGGGGTTGAATACGATTTATTTCAACACATTTATTTATGAGGGTTGCCACCTATTCGAAATGTTGAAATTACTTAAATGACTAGTTTAACAAGTTAAATACAATATTTAAAAATAGGCATCAAACAAGAGACGTTTAAGGAAACCCGTAACTATTTCGAAAATATTTTTGACGAGGGTTGCCACCATATTGGTATTGAATAACTCAGTGAGAGGGGAGACCAGTATGTTTGCATGTATGTATATAAACAAAAATATTTATTGGACCAAAAAGTAGTGGGTAGGCACTGTGGCCAATGGTAATCAACTATTACCACCTCCGCATGGTTGTAAGCCATGCAGAGTCCGCAGAATGCTCCGGAAGCAGTGTCCGGAGGATGCATCNAAAAAAAACTTTATTTTGATAATATTTTTGAAAAGGGTCGCAATCATATTTTCAAAAAGCTAAAATCAGTTTAATTAACAAATTAAGCGAAATATTTTCAATATGGGTATCAAACGAGTGCGGTTAAAGGAAAACTGTCTTTATTTCGAAATTACTCTTTGACGAGGGCTACTAAGTTAAATGAAATCCTAGAAATTTGAAAGTTTATGAGAGAATGTGTTTGTTTATTACCCTTTCTTTGGATATAATTTGGCACACACATAGCTTATGGCCTGGGTTAACATATAGCACTTTTTTTTTAACGGGATTACCACCTGCTTAAAAAGTTAAATTATAAGTTTAAAGGATTTTTACAATAACGATGCCTGACCTATTAAAAATGAAAGAGTTCAACAAAATTTTAGCACCTGAGTGAGGCATGTCGTTTCCGATAGATTTTTTTGGTGGAGATATCCTAAACTCAGTATGCCCAAAACAATTTTTGTGCTGCGTTTGAGGGACTTATGTTTCATAACTGGGTTATTTTATTTTTAGTGCGATTTGAGAACGAATTTTTAGTACTTCACGTATAAATATTTAAGAGACATACCGCAGGATCTCCGACGGTTCAGAGTTTTGTTGTAATAACTCAAGAATGATTGCATGCAAGCTTGCGCCCATCAAATGGGATTTTTCAGAATGACTTTTGTGGGACGTCACCCTGGTGCAGTTGCGAGAGAGAAATGCCAAAACGCGAGCAAGTTTGGAAGAAGAAGAAGAAGAAGAAATTTTACAAGAAAAAAGTAAACAAGTGGCACACCTTTGTTCTCTACATCGTGGTACTAACTAGTCATACTCTTCTTGGCATGCCGAAGGTCAATCACTACTTATAGTGTGGAGTAGTGTTGCATGTTGCATTATTTCAACTCTGCTTTATGAAATTAGCATTCTGAATAAGAAAAACATGCATGCATTAGTATATTTACATTTTTTGCCACCTTTCACTGACCATGTAACTACTTCCTGTTAGTACTTTTTCTTCGGTTCGTCCGTTTTTCTTACTTAGGGCCGTTTTCTCAAGTATCCTGTAACTTTAAAGTTCACTTTATATATAAAGGTTACATTAAAATTTGTGATTGTGCCTAAAGTAGAGCATTTTATTACCCGTTTTAAATTGATTTACAACCAAGAAAGATACATACGTCATAAACCGATAATAGAAATGCTTAACTTTAGACATAGCTTTACTTTTAATCCAACCTTTAAATATAAAGTAAGCTTTAAAGTTAAAGGTTACATCAGAAAACGGCCCTTAGTACTCATATTGTCCTTGGCCACATTGTTGCGACGCCTTGAACGTACTTTTATCATTTTCTTCATCTCATTTCTTGTTAACGCGTCAGCTAGCTCTCTACCCTAAAAGAGTCCAATACTGACGCCACAATTTGTACAAAGCGCCGCGTTCCCTTTTTCACTGAAGTTTCACTGAAGTTTCATGACTTAACTTGTTTGGCGCGCTTAAATTTCCTGCCTCATTTGCATACAAGTTGTACATATGAACTTGTTTCAGCAGCAGCAACTTCATTGCTTCTGCATATATGTAAGTAAGTATGCATCTAGTATATATGTAAAGAAGTATAGCTGGCGCCTTGATATTCAAACGCTAGTGCCGTAAAGGCATTGCAGAAGTGCATAACTTAAGAACGATATTATACAGCTTGAAGAAACTTATGTGGCACTACAATGATTTTCAAAAAAGTTGCTGCAATGTGAAAATTCTTTACGGACATTTGGGACATTGTGAATATATATACAGATTTGGTTTTTACTAAGGGCATACACGATTACATATGCACTTAAGGAGTATCTAACGAAATTATGCTCAGTTTAGATGAAAATATAAGTAAAAGTATTTCCAAAAACTACTAACTCAAGTTGGTACAGATCCCCCTGCAGCTTCATTAAGTCACAGCAGATTTTCCAAAAATCGTATGTGGCTTATTAAGCTAAAAAAGAGGCTAATGTAAAACTAGTAGAACTAGTAGATTCAACTGCTTGTCTTGGGCTACGTAGGAGTTTTTTAATGTAAAAAAAGATTACAGTGGATGAACTAAAACTCAACAGTGTATGAATTAAAACGTGGGCCGAGTAGTAGGGGTATGAACATATTTCGCTAAATAAGTAGCTGGCTTATGAAATAATATGATGCCCAGATCATGCGAAAGGAACATCTCGTTAAACCCCCTTCGGGGGGCGAATAGCATGATGAAGGTTAATCTGGACTACGGTTGTAATGATTCCACAAGATAGTTCACATTGACTCGTCAATGTCTGAGAACCTCACCTGGCTCTCAATCTTTCTGTCGACCTTCCTGTGTTCTTGGCACGCATGAAAGGCGTGGACCACATAAAAATGCTTACCTTCCAATCAATTCAAAATTCAAGATAATTAAATACATTTTTTCAGGCTATAATTAAGCGCACCCTTCTAAAAGCGGTTTTACATAGCTTGCCTTCGAAATTTCCCACCTACGTCGCCAGAAAACACCACCACATCCTGTAATAAAATTAAATGATTTGCTTTAATTTCATTTTCATTTCACTTCAGGTGGATTACCGATGACTGGAGTCCATGTAGCCGGCTCTGCGGTCCTGGCTATCGTGAGCGCATGGTTGTGTGGCATCACGACAACGAACGGTAAGCGTAAATTGAGTCATAAAATAGCAAGCGAAGAAAAATACTAACAACAAAATACAATAAAATTACCATACAAAAACCGCGCAACAAGAACAAAAACAATAGCATTAGTATTCATACACAGCGGGCGGTGGGTGGTGCCCAGTTTAGCCACATTCGCACCAAGTGTACTCGTGCCCGTGCGCTCGCTCGGTGTGCCACACTTTTTTGCTTTGTAACTTTACATTTATGCGCTTTGAAGACTATCAAAAAACGCCGCAAGCTCTTGTGTGCACAGCTGGAAGCTCGTCATCAATGGCTCATGAGTAGAGCGCTCGCTTTTGTGCTCATAATTGCGACTACTAAGCGTTTATCGCGCGCGCATTTTTTTTTTTGGTGTTACTGAGTTACTGCATTACTTTGTTGCTGTTGTTTTTGTGTTTTGTTGTATGGTAACTTGACTAATTTCATTACCGCCCTATATACATCCATCTACCATTTTCTTGTATAATTTTCATTTTGTTTTCCTATGTGTTTTTTTTTTCTGCTCTTTCTCCTTGTTCGCCATTATTACAGGTACTGGCTGTTGGCTGTTATGTGTCGAACGCCAAAGCCAGCCACACAGGAGCCTTACATAATTGAGAAGTGTCCAACGTGGGAGGTGGAGGAGTGTATTGGATTGAGTATGCTTTCAGTATTTAGTACGAGTATTATATACATACATACATACACTTTAGTTTACGTGGTGGCAAAAAAGACATTAAAGTGCGAGTTCTTGGTACATAGTTGTTGTAGCTTAACTTGGCCCGTTTAATCCCTTTGCTTTGCTGCAACATTATTTTTGCCAACTTTCCTTTTATGTTGTAAAAATTTTTCGTTCGCACAGTTTTCACTTTAATTATGAAGCTTTCAT